AAGAAATCTTTACCTCTCAATGTGTATTGCTATAAATGTCCATTATTACAAAGTGAGCGCATCTACATGTATGCTTTACTGTGGAATTGACTAATTAGCTCCTCAGTAAAGCATCACCATCTACACCTGCTGGAATTTGGGTGTGGTAAACTAATTTACTCCACTGTAGGATAGTATTGCTGGGGACAAGTGCCAGCCCATCACTGCTCCATCCCACCTCAAACTGTTCCAGTCCTATGCTGGCACCAGGTTTGGCAGAGGGAGGGGAGGTCAGCCCTGGACTCTGGATGGCAGTGGAGGTGCTGGCTGGGGCACAAGAATGCCAAAACTGTGGAGCCATGTGGCTGACCCCTGAGTTTGCTGCCAGCCCAGGGCTGCAGCAGTTTGAGCTGGGGCAGTGCAGCCCCAGGCTGGCAGCAGGCTCAGGGATCAACCACATGGCTTCACAGTTTCGGCACTCTCATGCCCCAGCCAGCCCCTCTGCCACCCGGAGTCTGGAGCTGACTCCCTGCACCTGCTCTCAGCCCGGGGCTGTTGCATCCTGGCTCTTAACTGCTGCAGTTGCAGGCAGATGTATAAATGCTGCACCAGAGAGCTGTTTTCTCTGGTGGCAAACTATGCTGGAGTTTATTGCTTTAACTTAATTGCTTATGTAGATGTACCCAGTAGTACCCAAAAGATTTGCATGTAGTATTGGATTCAGATTGAGGGGTTTAATATTAACCACAGTAAAAAAAAAAAGTAGAAAATCTTGGTTGTCAGTAAAAGGTTTGAAGTAAACAGGTTATTGGTTTAGTAATCCTGCTCGACTACAGCGATGGTTTCACACTGCATACCTCCCTGTTGCCCCAAAGGGGCCCTATACTCACTCTTGCACCCTGATGCCTCCAACTGCACCCTGCACCACGTTGCCCTGCCAGCCTACCCGCCGGCTTTACCCTAACCAGCCTTGCTTCTCCTGTCCTAGCATTGGCCACTAAGGAAGGCTACCTGTGACCCAGCAGTATGACAGGCAGTCTGGGATGCAGCAGCAGCAACATACAGCTGAGAGAACATTCCCTGCAGGGTGTTACACCACTCAGACATCAGGTAGCGTTGCTCTGCTCTGCCTGTCAGAGCTTCAGTTAATCTGTGGCTGCTTAGTGTTTAAATGGACAGCTAAATTTTTTTACAGACTTTACTGACAGCCAATTTTAGCTTGATTGATTGATTGATTGATTTATTTATTGTTATTGACAGTAAAGTTGTTGACAGTTGGTAACCCTGGAGCCAGGGGATGTAGCTACACTGTTGTAGCTCTACTGATGGCTAGAATGGCTAGGGTTCTGTAGACAGCCCTAACTTATTAGCATATGCATACACATGTAAATAAAGCTATGGCTGTAGGATGTAGATACATACCTCCAGTAGCTTTGTTGAGTTAACAATAGCAGTCAAGATGCAGCAGTTTGGGTTTTTCTTGCCTTAGCAATGCAAGATACCTGGGACTGTATTCTAATCATTAGACCAGGCAGAAGCCTTCTTTCTTGTTATTACTTGCTTTTCTGACTACCTTATAGCTAAGCAGATATGTCCAACCTCACCACCATCCATTCCCTCCTCCCACCCACATAAAAAAAAAATATCTTTAATACTGGAGTTTTTGTGTGGCTCTCTGATTCTGACACAATAGGAAGAGGTAGTTAGCTGTGTTAGTCAGGAAGAAGGCAGGAAAGAATGGCATTTTATAGATACTCTGCCCTTTTAGACATTTTATAGAGAATTCTGAATTCTCTGAATTTGTTATATAAGGCGCTCTGCTTTTTGCTTTACAATAGTTAGTGGTTGAAATGCTTAGCAATGCTAAGTGATGATGACTAAGCCTGACCATTTACCTCCATGCTGAGCTGATTGCAGCAATAGGGTAAGCAAGAAGTTTTTATTTCTGTTAGTGCTTTTGTTTCAGTCTGTTAGGCTAAATAAAACAAGAGTGCCTTTGTCTATAATGCATTCTGCAGGCCAGTTCCAGGACCAGAGGAGAATGCAGTGCATTTTTTCAATAAGAGAGATTACATTCTGGAGAAAATGTGTTCTGTTGAAGCTGTGTCCTGCTAAAGTCTGTGTTCAGCAGAACGCAGGCTTTAGAGTCTTCTCTGTTTTAGAGAAGACTCTGAAGATTATGGATCTTTGCAGCCAGCAGTTTCTACTATCCCTGGCTGCTTTCTTACCAGTATTAAAAGCTATTTCCAAAGCATTTATCCTGTCAATATTTGAACACCCCCCAACATGATAGCTAAAATACCTGTGAGAGAGAACTTTCATGTCTGCTGCCTTCTACAGTAGAGTTCTTAACTAGCTTCAAATGCTAGAAGCAGATTCCTCTTCCATTGAGTTTCTGGCATTTCTTTAGATGAGTATGTTACAAATTTAAACAGGTGCAACTTGTAGTAAACCTGTAGCATTCATACCATAAAATCAAGGCTGCCAAATGTGAGAATTTTAAATGACAGACGATAGAACCCTTGTAGCTCTGAGCACAAGCTAAAATGACCACAGACAAGAATGTGTAGTATTTGTGCATTTCATGAACAGTTGCCTATGCTGTGAAACTGTCATGTTTGGCTGAAGGACAGTTTCCTTCAAGAAAGAAGGATCCTGGCATGGAATAATTTCCTCTCAGTTAGAGAGCAGCGTCTCTTCCAGGGTTGGAACAAAGCTTTATTCACCTCTTAAGCACAAAGGAGGAGGCTACTGCAAATCCAGGTTGAGGGTCACTAACAATACAGTGTCGAAAAGGAGAGCAGACCTTGTATTCTTGGCATCTTTCACGTTTGTTGTAAACAAATTTGTTGGTTTCCACTGGTACAGTTATAAGAAACTAATTGCACAAATGAAAATGTAGGAAAAAATTGTTCTTAATAGTCTAAAAAGTGGGGGGATCATGGAAAAGCACGGCAAAAATGAAAGCCATTTCTTACAATCAAGATATTTGAAATGGAAGCAAAATATTATATGAGTTCTAATTGTTCTGGCTGTTGTGAAATGAAGCTATGAAATGTTCCCTCCTACAGCTCGTAAAACTTTACTTCATGTACCAGATAGATTATTTTGTTTTTCATTAAACAAAGTTGCACGTAAACAGTGCTGTGTACCGTAGAGATGATAATCTCTACCAAAAAAAAAAGAAGAAAAAGAAAGCAACAAAAAACCCTTACTTGTATAGTAGGAAAATGCACTTTGCAAAGCCCTTTCAGACAGCAGTCAAGTTCAATGTACAGTTTGTTTTCATGAGTAATTGAACTGCTGTAACTTAAATTCTGTGGCAGGATGCATTCTAGGGGAATTTAAGGAAAGGAAATCTTTGGATTGTGAATTCAATTTTTACATTTTACAAACTAATTTACAGAAGTGTCACTTTAACTTCAGTTGAAGTTTTTCATATGTCAGGACTGTAGGCTGACTCTAATTAGGAGAGAAAAATAATGAGGATAAAAATAAGCATGTTTTGCAGAAATGTGTAAACCTGGGATTTTTTTCCCTTCGAGCATAAGAAGTCAGGCTAGTGGAGTAAATAGCTTAGAAAAATTGAGAGAGCACATCTGGCTGGCTTTAAGTCAGTTTACCTCATTTGATTTCTTTTTCAGAAGACTGATATATAGTTAAGGGGACATGTATTGAAAACAAACTTGGATGCTTTTTTCCAGTGGTAAAATGGACTGAGTACCTGCAGTACCCAGTTGGAACACCCCTCTTTTTATCCACTTCAAACACTTCTTCACAAGTTCTGTTTCAGACTTGATTTGTATAATAATAACAACAGTCATTTTCACGTATGTAGTTCTTTAGCCATATGATCACAAAGCATTTCACAAAGGCGGGCATTGTTATCCTTATTTACATTAACCAAGGCCTTTTCTGAAGATTCTAGCAGTCAGCAGGCACAATGACCAAGTACAGACAGTCAGAAAGCCCAAGGCTGAATTGATTCAGTCTTCACTGGTTAGTGTAAGCTGCGTAAATTGAATTGATAAGCAAGTGAACAGACGTTCACTTTTGATTGTGGAAATGCAGCTACGTGCCTGCAGTGACCCAGGCTAGAAGCCGGGGGGTGCTAGAGCATGCCTCCTTGCTGGACTGGAGGAGACAGCTTGGGCCCACCTCCTGTGTAAGGGGGATTTTGTGGGGGAGGTGCAAAGCATCCTGGGTTGCTGGGGGACTGTGTTAACTTGAGTCTGGAGGGGATCTGGGACAGAAGTTCAATAAACCTATTTAACATAAATCAGTTAAGTCTGATACTACATCTATCCAGATTTATCTTAAACTAGTTTCGGACATCTTGAAAGCAGTTTATGTGTACTGAACTTCTGTTGTGTTACAGATTTGAATCAGTTTCCGGTTGGTTATGCTGGTTTATGTTTAATTTCTGTCCCTAGCCAATTAATATAGCTGTATCAGTGCAAACCCTTTGGCATGTACAGGTGAGCCCAGGAGTTTGGTTTTCCAGATTCAGTTTACACCAGTTTTAAAAAAAATGGCAAGTGGCATTAGAGAAAACCACAATTTATGGTGGTTTTGCTTCTTACTGTGTGACCATACCTGTGACCATAATTCTCAGCCTAGACAAAAGATCGCATTAATTCCATTTTGATTTTGGGAATTGGATATAAGCTAATAAAATGTTAATGCAAAATTGTCTGTATATATTATTTTCAAAATCTATTTGAAAATTATTTCCACAAAGAGCTATATATTTAGTACATTACAGGGTGAAAGTATGCACACATCCTTGGTGGACAGATACATGCAAGTTTGATTTTCTGGAAATGTGGATGTGTATTATTATGGTCTGAGGATAGATAGATGATATAACAAAGTATAGTAAGAGAATCTGCTTGACATTGTTAGATTAATTTCACTTTATTTCATTAAAAGTTAGGCAACAGAAAATATTAAGATGGCTTATGGGTTTCAAAAGGAAGGATCCTGGGTGAATTACCATTGCATGCTTCATGTTTTTACAGTAACAAACGACTTGTGGCCTTAGTGCCAAGTGACACTCCATTCAATACTCGACGAGCCTACACAAGCGAAGATGAAGCTTGGAAATCATACTTGGAGAATCCTTTGACAGCAGCCACCAAGGCTATGATGAGCATAAATGGAGATGAGGACAGCGCTGCTGCTCTTGGCTTGTTGTATGATTATTATAAAGTAGGTGCCTTGGTTATTTTTACTTCCTACTGTACTAACTATCAGGACCTGTTATTGAAAGCATGAAGGAAGGGAGTTGTCAGTTAACAAGTTTTAAAGTTAAGAGTCTGTGTCGTCTTTCCAGTGGACATGGTCCTTAAGCTCCTCTACCATGTTAAGAAGGCAGTTTTAGGGCCTTTGATTTTGTTCTGTTGAGACCTAAAACTAAAATTATAATCCATAAATGCGCTCTCAGCCATCATTTTCCTTAGGCCAGTATTTTTACTTTTCATGTCAAAAACAGCTTCTGTAAAAATCTATATAAGCTTTCTCTATATTGATGTGAAAGGATTGTCCTTTAGAAATTAGGAGACCAATGCTCATTTGGAGGGTTTTTTGGTGCTCTCATGGATCATTTTGACTAAAAGGCACAGACAAATTAAATATTTAGGCTGGCATAAAAAAGTAGCAGTGTGATAATGCAAGCAACCTAAATTCATGTAATATGGTAAAGAATAATTCCTAAAATAATTGGGAATAAATCTCTACTATTGTAAATGACACTAGTTTGTTTAATTTGTTTGCATCTACCCAGAAATAGCTGCCTGCTCAGGACAAACAGCCTATCACACTCTACTACTGCATACGGACAAGGGAACGCCAGCTACCCACTGAGTCAGCTATCTTGGAATAGCTGCGTATCTGTCTGTTCCTGAGCCCAGTGTAATTTACATTCATATACAAAACTGATGCAACTTATCCTGAGATGTCTGTCTGTGCATTTCCAAATCAAAATTTTTATCTTTGTCTACTCTCTGACGACACGATCTCCCTGATGGCTCTTATTTGTATTTCAGCTGGATCTAGAATCCTAAAGTAGGATCCGGGCCCTTTTTTCCAGGAGCTTTACAAACACCTAGTAAGAGACAGTCCCTGTCCTAAGGAGCTTACAAGCTAAATGGACAACAGGCTAGATGCAAGGTAGAAGAGAAAGTATGATCACTTCTGTTTAATTATATGAAGCTGGAGCACAGTGAGACTAAGAGATTTAATCAGTGGCAGACAAGAATCAATGTGCGACAAAGCTATGATTGACATAAATCTGAGTCTCAGTCCAGCATCTTAATCAAAGAGGTTCTTTCTTTCTGTTTCTCTCTCTCTCTCATGTTTGAGCATGGTTACGGCTAACACCTTAACCCCGCTTATTGCCCTTGATTGAAGTCAAAGCAAAACCCACATACTGTTGCTAGTAATTTTGCAGTTTTGCACCTAAGGGAAAATTCTGTTCTACGTCTTGGAGCTCCAAGGCATGAGACTTGATTTCAATACCCATTTGTCTAAACTGAATTCTTAAATCATCTTTATGACAATAAAGCTACATCCAGAGCTGACTTCAGTGAGGCTTCTACAGTAAAATCCCTGTTATCCAGCATGAGTGGGGGAAAGGGGGGTGACGGGTATCTAAAAATGCTGGTTACCTCAATCTGGTGGTTTTTGGCAAGACATGGGGGGCCAACGGCAGGGGGTGGCAGTGGCTGCATGCAGAGCCGGGGTGGGAGGGGTGGCGGTGGCTGCATGCAGAGCATCTACAGCACAGGATGGTGGGTGACAGCGGTGGCCCCCCCATGCAAACTTTTCCCCCCCCCCCCCCCCCCCGCCTGCGTCTGGTCAGAAATTCCGGTTGTGAGAGTGTTCTGGTTACTCAAATGCTGGATAATGGGGATTTTACTGTACCTGTTTACGGCAGTGCTGAGTTTGACAGTCTGTCTTTTGCCTCAAAATTTTAGCAGAACAGCAACTTGGCACCCCAAGTGTGAAGGCAGAGCTGGAAATCAGCAAATTAATTCCATTTATTTTAAATATCAACACCCCCGAGAAAATACTTTTTAAGCCTGGTAAAACAATGACAGATATTTGGGAGACAGCCTTTGTGTTTGGGAGGGGTGGGGGGTAAACAAGAAATCTGAGAGCAGCGTGATTTATTCCAGTCATATACCTACAACTTAATTTAGGTCTTCCATTGACTGTATTCGAAGAGATAAAGCTTTCATGCATTTTGATCAGTATAAGGGTGTCTTTTCCAAAGAGAAGAAATAAATACCCAGATTCTCATCTGTAAGGTAGGGTAGCTCCACTGTAGTCAATGGGACTACAAGTGTTTGTGGGATTGTGGTCTACATTAGTAATCTAAGCCTCATCATCTCATTGTTTAGCAATCTCTTCTTCTCCAATGCTTAGAAAAATAAATGCAATCCTTCAGTATTACTTTCTGAAGGACACATTCTGTTCCTCTGTATAGTCTTATGACAGCTAATCCAAAATATTCTGGGTCTGTGAGTGAAATAGGTTGTATAAAGCATACTCCAGTAATTGATAACAGTTGCTCCTATCTTGCAGTGGAAGATCAGAAAGGACTTTGTTCATGTTAATTGTAGGTGGCTGAGGAAACTATTAACCATAGGTTTGTCCACACATTAGTGTGTGAAATTAGGTTTAAACACTCTTAGGCTTCTTAAAGTTATGCCACTCCAGGCTAGGTTTATCTATGATCTGTGTTACCCAGCTTGCATTATGTTAACGTGGCTACTCTAGGCTACATGTTAATGTAATACCCTGCCTTCCCTCCCTTCCCTGCTAGCTCAGGTTGGGTCTGCTGCCCCTCCCTCCCCCTGAACCACTGAATCGGACAGCCCCCCCCCTCAGCAGCCTGGCTTGGGCCTGCCATCCGCCACTACTCTCCTTCACCAGCTCGTATTAGGGAAGGGCAAGGGGGAAGCCCTAGGGGCAAAGGTGGGACAGGGGGAGCCCTAAGAGGCGGTGGCAGGGAGCCCAGGATGGAAGGGGCAATGGATGGAATGAGTGGTGCATTCTTACCTTTCAGTCCTCAAGGCCCCTGTTAGCCTGAACCTGTGGCAGCTGTAAATTCGAGCTAACACTAATGCTAACTACCACTTTGAGAAGCCTAAGTGTAATGTGTAACAAGGCCCAGACATTGCACTGAGAGCTGAACCCAACCTGGAAGCTAAAACCCAACCCAAGTTTTTTTAAGAGCTTGGGATAATAACAATTTGAAAATTGCTTGAAAGCAGATGGGGGCCCAGGACCTCTCAGATATCAAATGGCAAGGCTGAGAGAGTCTCAAGCCTCACACTGAAGGTGAACTGCAAAGGGAAAAGCACATTCTTGTTTGTTTTTTAATGTGTGGACAGGGAGCAAGAAAATGTAAATGGCTGTAGATGACGTATTGGATTTTTATATTAGACAGTCAGGTCTTGTCTACCCTGTGTCTAAGCAGACAGTATAGAAAACAAGTTGATTTATGAGACTGTAAAAAATTATGCAAGTGAAACTTCACTAAGTAAAATAGGGAGTGATATTTATCATCATTGTTGTTTTTGTTGTTGTTATTGTTATTATTCAGGCTATTTAAAATTAGAGCCTGATTTCTGTGCTGGAGACAGGGAATGGGGCACAGATGGACTTAAGTCACCTCTGGGTGTCATGTATTCCAGATTTATGGAGGGCCCTGCTCTGACTTAAGTTCTTCTGGTGTATCTAGGAAACTGGAATGTAGCTGTTGTTCATTGCTCTTTGGTGACATGCCAACGTGCTTCCAATACACCCCCTATGACAAATGTGGAAACTGATGCCACTGCTGCCAGGAGTATTCTTTGAATGGAAGATATTCTCAGGGAACTGTTTCTGTCTACTACAAGCCCTTTTTGAGCTGTCTGAATGGTCTAAGTAAAGCCTTGATGTATGCTTTTTTATTCTATTTATATCTATTTAGGACAGTGGTGCTCAACCTCTGACCTCTGGGCCCGATCTGGCCTGTGCTGCCATGTCATCTGGCCCATAGGGCGCTCCACTGGGTCCAGACATTCGGAACCTAGATAAATTGACAAGAATTGCTTTTCTTTCAGACTCTGAGGACCTGAATGCAGATTTACCAAAATAATCAAATAGTTTGAATTCATATCTCTTTGGTGCAAATTTACATATATAGAAAACTTGAGGCTTGATTCTCCTGATAGTCTAAAGAAAAAAGCAAGCCAAATAACGCCTTTTTTTGGGCAAAGAAAATAAAACATATTTTTTGCATTTTTTATACATACAAGAAAACAAAGGGAAATATTCACTGCATCTTATTCTGTTTCAAGATAGTCTTTTGGTTTCTGGAGATATTTTAGAGAAAAGCATCCCCTGACATCTATGGGTTTGGTATCCCTGACCTAAATGAACCTTCCCTTTTGTTAAACTACTAGATTAATCTGAAGTTGCAAATACAAACTGTTACATTTATCTGACCCATGCCTGATGCTGTTCTCAGGTTCCCAGAGATAAAAGGCAGTTGTCTGTTAACAAAGTGAGTGACAGTCAAGAAGACCAAGATAAAAGGTAGAGTATCATCTAAAATAATACACCAATTCGCTACCACTAACAAAAACTTTGATCAGATGTGAATCAAAAGAACTGTCAAGGCCTAATGGCTTATGGATTTCTTTCAGAAGATAAAAGAACAAAGCCTGATGTGGGAAACTGTCATTATGTACTTTTGTTTATTGAAAAAAAACAGGATTATTTTTAAAATTGCAATGTGCAAAGCAATGAAGAGGCCCAACGAACTTGTGTTGTCTGAAAAAAGTAAAATGTAAGAACATATTGATATTAGATATACAATTGATTTCACTTTGTTTTTTATTTACTTTATTCTCTCAATTTTTTCTATAACAAAATTTTGGCTATTTTAAAGTGATTAATATAGTTTTTATGAGCTTCATTTGATCTCTGAGAGGAAGCAAATAAAGTAATGTCATTAAAATCACATTTTCTCAAGCATGCTTCTTCCTTCATACTTCTCTGATTAGAGGGTTTTTTTTCTTGTGTTTTGGAGAAGAAGGTGCTGATAGGGCCAGAGGTAGCTTACAGAGGTGCTTGGCCATGTTAATTTGAAGTCGGGCAGAAGCTGGGGCAGGCTGGCACCTTGAAGTTTCTCCAATCCAGTTAGTCTCTAAGGTGCCACTCTGCTTTGCCTTCTGAGAGGTGGGTTAGAATAATAACAAGTGGTTTTATTAAGACTTATGAGCAGTAGAGTGGAAGTGTATCTTTACAGGAGGGGGGAAAAGTGTGTTTGTTTACACTGAGAAAGAAATCTTGATGTAAAATCCTCTTGGCATGAAGGTGCTGTTAGTTATTGCCTCAATGGAGCTAGCTGAAGGAAATTCTAATGTAGCTACACTGCAGTAAAAACTAAACTAGATAACTGTCTCAATGTTAAAAACATACTTTGCTGTAATAGAAGCATAGTCTGAAATTTCTTCTACCTGAATCTAAAGAAATTCTGACTCCAGAAAAATCCCATAGCAGGGTACTGATTGACAAAATATTCCTTAGATTAAAAGCCAAGACGGAAGCATTACATTAGAACAACTCTCACTGGGTGATAATAATAACTAAATGTTTAGCAATTGCTGGACAGTGGAAGTTTTATGAAGAAACTATTTCGTATGTATGTTGTCCATGAGTAGAGAGAGGTAGCTAGCCAAGTTAGTCCAAAGTCAGGCAGAAGGCAGGCTGGAACCTTGAAGACTAATGTATTCAGAGAGGCAGAAGATTTCTCAGATAGCATCTGACAAAGTAGGCTGTTGCCTACAAAAACTTATGCCTTTCTGAACAAGTTAGTCTCTGAGGTGCCAACCTGTCCTGTCTTATGTGTGATGGCTGCTGTGCGTGACTGGGGCCTGTTCAAAGGTATCTTGACTACAGACAGAAGTTACATACAAATTGGTTTAAGTGATCAGAAACTGGTTTAAACCTGTAACAGAACAGAAGTTCAGTGAACGTAAACCAGTTTCAAAATGGCTGAAACTGGTTTAAGATAAAGCTGGTTGAATGTAGTTTATCACACTTAACTGATTTGGGTCAAACCAATTTATGCAACTTCTGTGCCAGACCCCTTCCTGGTTTAAGTTAAACCAGAGTCCCCCGGCATGCCAGCATGCTTTTCGGCTCTGGGCTGGGCTGCCTGCTGTAGACAGAAGAGCAGGCTCTGGTCCTCTGTTCTCTAGCTGGAACAGGGGCGGGGTGTGGCCAGACACTGGTCGGTATGGCCCCCCTGAGGCAAAGGTAGCAGGGAAGTAGCTTATTTCCCCCTCCCTCCCCTCTCTCACTGGGGGACCGCAGCCAGGGTCAGCCTGGTTGGAGTGTAGCAACTCCTGTCAGGCCCCCCACATCTTCAGCCTGAAGCAAATGTGGAGCGGGAGGGAGATTTAATCTCCCCCTCTGTCCCCTGTCTCACCAGCAGCCTGGGTCCACCTGGCCAGGGCAGAGCAGTGGCACAGCCCCTGTCAGCTATTTCCCTACTCTCCACTGCAGTGGCAGGGGAGGGAGCGAAGCCAGATCCAGCTGGCATAACCCCACCATCCACCTGCTTTGCCAGTGGCTGGGGCTGGGGGGCTGAGCCCGGCTGGAATGCAGGTACTGATGAATGGATGCAGAGGGGCCAGCCCCAGCTGGGCTGTGGGGGCCAGGCCCTTTCCAGGAGGCTGCAGCTTGGGAACTGCATGGTCAGATTGCTTCTGGCTCACTACGCCCAGGCTGGTCGGGGCTTTCATGGACCACAGCGGCCATGCCGCCTGCCCTGTGCTGCACCCAGTGGCTGTAGCCACATTGCAAGTTGCAGGCTGGCTAGGTTCTGCCCTCTTTTTCCTCCACTTGCCACTGCTGTGGCTGCTGCTGCCCCTGCTGCGCAGCACTGTGCCACTCTGGGTGGGTGGATGGGAAGCTTCAGCCTGGTGGCTTCTGCCCAGGGAATGGAGCTCCGACTCCAGCTCTGGCTGCTTTGTGCCAGGCAGGTGGAGGGGATGGAAGGCAGCCGGAGCTGGAGTCAGAGCTCCATGCTCTGGTCAGAAGCCATGGGGCTGAATCTCTCCCTGTCCTGAATGGCAGTATGTTGGGCAGCAGGAGCTGCAGCTGGAGTGAGGGGAGCGGAACAACCCTGCTGGGCCAAGCCAGCTTCCCCTCCCCTCCAGTGGCTACTCCCCTTCCCACTCCTGCCCCTGCTGCACCACTTCAGGTGGTGGTGGTGGGGGGGGAGAGCTTCAGCCCAGGGCATGGAGCTCTGGCTGCCTTCTGCCTACTCTGCCCTCCCTCAGGGGCTGCTCATGGTGCCGAGCGAGTGGGTGGCAGCTGAGAGCTGGAACCACTGGAGGCGAGGGGAAACTGGCTTGGCCTGGTGGGGCTGTTCTGCTCCCCTCACCTCCAGCTGTGGCTCTAGCTGCCCTGCAAAGCTCTGGCATGGGAGGAGCTTCAGCCCCAGCACTTGGAGCTCTGGATCCAGCTCCAGCTCCTTTCCATCCCCTCCACCCACGTGGCATGATGAGCAGCCCCTGGCGTGTGGGCACAGCAGATGAAAGGCAGCTGGAGCTGGAGCTCCATGCCTTGGGCAGAAGCCGCTGGGCTGAAGCTTCCTACCTGCCCACTCACAGCAGTGGGGTGCAGCATGGCAGGGGCAGGTGAGGCAGCAGCTGTGGCAGTGGCAGCTGGAGGTCAGGGGTGCAGAACAGCTCTCCTGGCCCAGTGCCTCCAAGCTGCCTGGGCAGCTTGCTACCTGGCCAGCCCCCACCCATGCTGCCAGGCTGGGCTGTGCCAGAGCCACAGCCGCTGGGAAGGGCCCTGCCCAGCCAGCTGCGGCTCCGTGACAGCCCCCATGCCCCTAGCCCAAGCTGCAGCCTGCTGGGAAAGGCCCAGCCCCCATGGCCTAGTCCTGTCAGCACCTGCAGGCTGGCTCAGCTCAGTCCTGTAGCCGCAACCCTGGATGGATAGCAGGACCATGCTGGCCAGGCCTTCCTGCCACCCAAGCAGGAGCAGAGGGGAAAATGGCTGCAGCCAAAGGGAAGGGAGGGCTGCTTTAGCGCCCCCTGGCTTCTAACCTGAGCCACTGTAGGCATGTGCCTGCATTTCCAAAATTAAAAGTGAATGTCTATTCACTTGCAAATCGGTTCAATTTTTGCAGGTTAGTCTAACCTGGAAAGTTTGAAATAATTTAGGCTCCAGCTTTTTGAATGTCTGTCCCTAGCCCTTAAGGTAGAGCTAATGTGGTGATATTGTTAAAAACTAGAGGGCACTCACAGCACTTAGTGACCCAGTTCTGATGGGATAACTTCAGAAGTGCTTTGGCAGGACCTACCCCAGAAAACCTAGTAATGACCATTCTGGCTGCTAAAAAAGGTATATATCTAAATATGAATCTTGTTATTAACAAATCCTCTGTCTACTCCATATGATAATCATGTTGTTTTCATATTGCTGTTGATGTTTATTTTAGCAAATCAGCCCATGTTGTATATTAACTTTATATCCAAATAGCAGTCCAAGAGGAATGAAAAACAGTTTATGTACAATTTGTTGTAGTGGATCAGGCTCCTGAGATGTCAGGTCCTATATCTTAATTGCAAAAGGCAGCCAGTAGTTGTTTCCTGGTAACCTTTTCCAGTCCCACAGCACACATAAGTTTTGTAGTGGGCAATATATTTCTCTGTAGACATCTTTTGGCAATCAGCTTCCTATCTAAAGGGGATTTGGTGCTCATATCTGTGAGGGCAATTCACAGCTTTTCATTTGTTTCACAGAAGTTGTCTTGGTGCTAATGAGACTCAGAGTAATTTGAGTGGAGGAGAGAACCGAGTGCAAGTCCTGAAGACAGTGCCAGTTAACCTTTCCTTAAACCAGGATCACCTGGAGTCTTCCAAAAGGGAGTACAGCACAAACGTATCTGGGAGCCCAACACAAGTTTCTGCAACTGGAATTACTGTGGTAAAGGTAGAAGAGTTCACCCCAGTCTTTATGGCCCCACAAGTTCATTATACAAGAGGAGAAAATGAGGAACACCGTGGGGTTATCTTTGAACAGACTCAGTATGAAATGCCCAACATTGCCCCACATACAAACTATCTCAAAGATGACCAGCGTAGTACTCCTGATAGTACTTACAGTGACACTTTCAAAGACGGGGGAACAGAGGTAAGATTTTTCATTTGTGCATTAGTATCTATTGAAAAGATTTAAATAAAATAAATGGCATTTGGTATGTTTTAGCTGTCTACAAGAGAGCTGGGAAGGCAAGATGAGCAAGATGGCTGTCTAGCAGATTCTCCAGCTCTCTCAGCATTTTTCCTGGTCTGTGTCTCCTGATACCATCTTTCTTAAGGACAGCTTGGCTTTATTAAAATGACCACTACTGATAGATACAGAGAGCATTACATAGCTTCAGTCCTATTGAACATCATTGGGGATTTTGGCAATTTTGAAAGAGGGCAAGTTAACTGTTGAATAGCAGTGAAGCCACAGCCTGTCAAGACAATGAGTTGGCAGCCATTTTGAAGGTGAGCAGTTCTTTGAATTTCTCCGAATGGGGATATTTTCTGAGGATATTTTCAGTTGTGAAAAAGTTTGGCAAAAAAAATTACCCTGCATCCTTAAGTGGGTCACTATGAAAAACACCTGTTGCACCAGACCTACTTGTCAAAGAGGAAAGAGGCAAACTAGGGTAACAGGGGTAAGTGCAGGTGAATGTAGAGATTGAAAGGTAGAGGGAAACAGGTAGGTGAGTATGTGTGCGCTCAAGAAAATAATGAGACTAGGAGAGAGTAGTTGGAGGGCACGTTTACACATTCATTAATGCACCATAATTATAGTGCATTATGTTTAGTACCTGAAATAACAGATACAAACTTAATGTGCCATAACATGCACTACTGTGCATTAGTGCAGATGAATTTTTTTTTTATATTAACGTTCTTTAGACTAAGTCTACTGCATATTGATGCATTAGAATGGTTTTTGCCAGCCGTGTTAATGCGCAGTAGTATTAGTCTGTGCATTAAGTGTCTTGTGTAGACATGCCCAGAGTGTACATCCCAGTGCCTTCTTTGCATTGTCCTGATGATGCAAAGCAGCTGTGAGTTCAATTAACTGGTGGCTGTTTTGTGCTGCTCCAGTAACATAAGTTAGCCTGATGGTAGTGGTGAATCTGACCCCAGAGGTTAAAATTAAAAATATAATTGAAGGTTGAGATGATGTGTCACATCATTAGAAATATTGTGGTAAAATTCTTTTTGGGTTTTCTGTTCATATGCAAAATTATTAGTAATTTAACCAAAAATCAGATACAAGTTGCATTAAGTTACAGTTAAGGTTAAGTATATGAGTAGTTTAGGGGGAAGAAAAGAATACAGATATGTTGTAACCATCCTCCAAAGAAACCTTAGAAATCCAGAGTGCAGATTAAACAGTAAAAGATGTCCAAATGCATTAAGATATGGAAATGCTCATTCAGGTCACCAGTGAAATCTTAGTTCTGCTCTGTTGACAGAATAAGGTACAATTTATGAACAGGGATCCAGGTTTTCTATTTCCCACAGAAAAATGGAAAGAAATGTTGTTTTTGCCTTTACCCAAGGAAAACATGGATTTTTTAATTTTAATGGAGAAACCCATGAATTTTGCACTTCTGCAAAGAGCTCTCTTCAGGCTGGCGGAGTTCCATCCTGTAAGGGGCTGGGAGGGAGTGGGAGGCGGTCAGGCAGGTGACACCATGTGCATGTATAAGTACATGGCTGCCAGGCAACCTGGAAAGCAGCTCCTGCAGGTAAGTCTGGTGGGGGTGGAGATTGAGGCCCCCAAAGGGAGGGAGGGAGTTGGGCAGGGCTGGGGCTGCTGCCTAGCTGGGGGGTGCATGGAGTTGGGGCCCAGGGCTGGAATGCATGGCTCCGGCGGGGTGGGGGGCAGAGTAGTGGGGGCTGGCTCCCTGCTGCAGTGCACACTTCTGGGGGGCAGGAGGGACCAATGCCCCCCAGATCTATGTGCAGGGTGGAGGTAGGCTGCGGGCTTGGGCTCCCTGCCCTATTGCCTTCCCTTGGGGCCTTCGTGGCCTAGTGGGTGCAACCCGGTGCTGCAGGGCAGAGTGGGACCACAGTGGAAAGCTTTTTGCCACTGCAGACTCTGTGCTGCCCTGGCAATGCATCTCCTGTGTGCCCCACAGCAGGGAACACAACTCCACACTGCTGCTACTGCATGGGCAGGGGACATGTTGCCAGAGTAGTGTGCAGCTCACAGAGGCAAGAAGCTTCCCTGTGTGGCCCTATTGTGTCCTGCAGTGCCAGGTCACACCTTCTGGGCTGTGGAGGTCCTGGGGGAGGACAGCAAGGCGGGGAGCCTGAGCCCGTACCAGGCAGCCTACTGCCACTCCCACTTACTGTACACATATCTGAGGGGCATGGGTCCCCCAGGAGTGCATGCAATTGTGGGGAGATAGCCTCACCCCACTGCTGCAAGCCTGCAGTGGGCAGGCAGCAGGGGGGCAGCTGGGATCCACACTGTGCTCCCTGCAGCAGCTCCTGCCTCCTGTGGGTGGCAGCTGAGGCTCAAGTGCTGCTGGGGGGAGGAGGTACTCTGATTTTTCCATGATAAAAACGCCAAAATCAAATAGCAAAAGGTATAGTTAGTTAGAATGTATTTCACTGTAGTGATTGAGGCACTGGTAGGCTTCCAAATTGGTTTAAAAATGTAAATACATCAAGAAAATATTGTGTTCTACTGATATCTATATTTATATTGCGGCCTTTCATTTTAATCATGGATTTGGGGTTTTTAATCTTTTAAATCAGTTTTGTTTTTTTAAATCAGAGAATTTGTAATTTTTTCATCAGGGAAAACCAGGATCCCTGTTTATGAAGAAATCTAACATACCTTTAAAAAAAAATTCAGTTTAATCTGAAACCACAAATCACGTTATGTATTCAGGCACAGCCTTGTTATATTCTGTGCTACTGGTAAATGCTGTCTTGTAGGCAGGGCTGTTCCTCTGTGGGGGCAAATTGGGGTCACTGCTCTGGGCCCTGCACTTCATGGGGCCCTGCGGAACTGGGCAGAGCGGCTGCGGTGACTGCACCGCTGCATGCTTCATGTCCAGCTGCTCGCTTCCTTCCCCTCTGCTGCTGCCGATGGTGGTGGCAGCTTCTTTGGGTCCGGGGTGTATGGGATCGGAGCAGGGGCAGGGCCCCACATGGGCTGATTTGCC